GACCAAACCGAATTCTAAGAACAAAAGTACACAAACACACCATAAGTCGACAAGATCCACAGTTGTCAATACAAGCATAAAAAAAACCTGCAACTGGTAGTTGAGGTTTTCTCTTTTTTAAAAAGAAAAAAAGATAAGCAAATGACTAAATTTGTTTTAAAGGGAGTACACTTACTTCTCAGTACTCCTCCTCCTGCTGTTGGTATTCACCTTCTTCCTCGTCCTCGTAATCACCTTCTTCATCAGCGGTTGCATCCTGGTACTGCTGGTACTCTGAAACCAAATCGTTCATGTTGCTCTCGGCTTCTGTGAACTCCATCTCGTCCATTCCCTCACCTGTGTACCAATGCAAGAAAGCCTTCCTCCTGAACATAGCCGTGAACTGCTCACTCACACGCCTGAACATCTCTTGGATCGATGTTGAGTTACCGATGAAAGTGGAAGCCATCTTCAGACCAGTAGGTGGGATGTCACAGACAGTCGACTTGACGTTGTTGGGAATCCACTCTACAAAGTAGGATGAGTTCTTGTTCTGCACGTTGAGCATCTGCTCGTCCACTTCCTTTGTGCTCATCTTACCTCGGAACATGGCAGAGGCTGTGAGGTAGCGACCGTGTCTTGGGTCAGCAGCACACATCATGTTCTTGGAGTCCCACATTTGCTGAGTGAGTTCAGGGACCGTGAGGGAACGGTACTGCTGAGACCCTCTTGAGGTGAGAGGAGCAAAACCCACCATGAAGAAGTGAAGACGAGGGAATGGGATAAGATTCACAGCAAGCTTACGGAGGTCAGAGTTGAGCTGACCAGGGAACCTCAGACAGCATGTGACACCAGACATTGTCGCAGATATCAGATGGTTCAAGTCACCAACTGCATAGAGGGAATGAACAAGTATGTTAGTATCGTTCTACCCATATACTCAGTCTCTCAAGAGCATAGAAGAACAGGACCATAGCAGAGAAAACTATATTATAAAGCAGACACTACACTTTCACAAATCCCAAATCACAAAATCACAAAGCAATAGAAAATTATGCTCTTCTATACAACTTATGGATTCTGCATATACCTTATGTTATAAGAAGTACTGGATAGTTACATGACACTTAACAAGAATGTATTGGGCCAATAAAGATATAGAGAATAGCAGTACAAGGATTTAATGTGATGATGAGATCAATGCAAAGAGCCAAGAAATGTTAAACAGGACCCATAGAATCAAGGTAAGAACAAAACAATTGTGAAACGAAACAATGACAAAATCACGTTTACCATCTAGACAGAGCATATCAACCATATAACAGATACCATCCCATAGAGAAATCAACTGCTCTAAACATTAGAGATCACCACCAACGCGACCATGGATCTTAGAAGGACTTACAGCTGGGTGTTGTGAGTTTGAGAGTCCTGAAGCAAATATCGTACAAGGCCTCGTTGTCAAGAACCATGCACTCATCTGCATTCTCAACAAGCTGATGAACAGACAAGGTAGCGTTGTAAGGCTCAACGACAGTGTCAGAGACCTTAGGCGAAGGGAACACTGAGAAAGTAAGCATCATTCGATCTGGGTACTCTTCACGGATCTTGGAAATCAAAAGTGTTCCCATACCAGATCCAGTTCCTCCTCCCAAGGAATGGCAAACCTGAAACCCTACAGAGCCAAAATCTCAAAGTTCAAACACCAGTACACAGGACAAAAAACTCAACAAAAGCATAATAAACCCTAAAATCGAACGGATCTAGAAGATTTACCTTGAAGACAGTCACAGTTCTCAGCCTCCTTACGAACAACATCGAGGACGGAGTCGATGAGTTCAGCTCCCTCAGTGTAATGTCCCTTAGCCCAGTTGTTACCAGCACCAGACTGACCGAAAACGAAGTTATCAGGACGGAAGGTCTGACCGTAGGGTCCAGATCTGAGACTATCCATGGTTCCAGGCTCTAAATCCATGAGTACAGCACGAGGGACGAATCTACCGCAACTAGCTTCATTGTAGTAAACGTTGATGCGCTCGAGTTGCAGATCTGAGTCTCCGACGTACCTACCGGTTGGATCTATGCCGTGCTCGGCGCAAACCACTTCCCAGAACTTGGCACCGATCTGGTTACCGCACTGACCACCCTGGATGTGAAGGATCTCACGCATTTTCGGTAGAAGAAAGTGAACAAGAGACGAAACTTAGGGATTTCGAGGATCCGAAATTTCGAGAATCGAAATCCGGAGGAGAGAGAGAACTAGGGTTTTCAGAAATGACAAAAAGAGTGAGTGAGCTGGAAGGGGATGGGTTTTATATAGCAGAGCGGTAACAAAGAGTGTA